AGAAAAATTCGCTGGGCATGGTGGTATACATGTGTGGTCACAGCTACTCCTGCTAAGGCAGGAGCCCAAGAGATTGACATTGCAGTGAGTTATGAGTACACTGCACTCTAGCCCGGGTGACAGAACCAGATCTTGTCTTCAAAAAAAGAAAAGTATACTGCATTGCAAATATTAAAGCAGTATCTTTATTATTCCAGAGGGTATCCCCCCAGAATGCATGTACATTTTAAGAAAGGAAAAAAGGTATTAAAATTGTAATACCCAATATATACCAATAATAAAAGATGAATACAAGTCACATTTGAGTACCTCATGTAATCACAGAAGTCAAATATGACTTGAATATTATATTTTTTCCTTTATTAAAGTATATATACTTTTTTGCACCCTCTGTATATGATTGTATATATCATCAGACCTAGGAAAACTTCTATAGGATTTTTTTGTGTGTTTATTAACTCATTATAATCAGATAAACAGCACTGTTACCAGGGTCGACTCATCAAATTATGGACAATGTGTTCACTAGCATTTAGTATCCTAATGGCATTATGGGACATAATGGGATTATGACTGGACAAAGGTAGAAAACTACTGACTATCAAAATGGATAAGAGAGATATACTCTTTCCTGGATGCTAGACACTGCACTAAGTCCTAGATGCATGCTGCTTTATTCCATCCTCCCAAAACCATTTTACCCACTTTATGGATGAAGAAACTGAGGTTCATACTGCTAGAAGGTGGGAAAGCCAAGAATTAACTTGGATGAGAGAATCCTTGGAAGACTGAAGAGTGAAAGCACCAGCAATCTATCTCCCCATCTAGACAACAACTGCACTAGCAGAATCTGATGAAATAATTTTAGAAATCTGGAGTCTACTGAAGGTTTATAAGTTCCAAAGGAAAGCTTGGACTGTAAGTTGAATTAATTTTGGTCAATTTCAGATCTTAGACAGTAATAGCAACCAATCCCTCACCCCGATGGTAGGTAGCTATGCACTTGTTTCTGGACCAGCTTGTACACAGTGTGAGGGAGCCAGGGTGGGCAAAAAGAATACTGTCCTTTAATTATTAGGATCTGTGCTTTGATTGCTCATTTGCATTTTTTTAAATTTTATTTTTAGAGACGGTCTTACTCTGTTGCCTATAGTCTTGCTCTGTTGCTGCCCAGGCTGATCTCAAACTCCTCATCTCAAGTAATCCTCCTGCCTCACCTCCTAGTAGCTGGGAGCACAAGCATGTGCTACTGTGCCCAGCTATTTACTTTTTAGAGATGAGGTACTGCTGTGGTGTCCAGACTTGTCTTGAACTCCTGGCCTCAGGTGATCCTCCTGCCTTAACTCCTGAGTAGCTGAGATTACAGGCATAAGCCACTGTGCCCAGTTCATTGCTGCTTTTGATTACACAAGGGCAGAAAAAGAGGGTTTTAGTATCTACTTCCCCCTCTCTCATTGTTGCAAGCCCATTCTCCTCTGGTTGAAGTGACTTTCAGTAGATTTAAATGAATAGTACCATTTCTCCTCCCTTCATTTTTCTCTTTTTCTGTCTTGGGAAAAAGACATTAAAGACTAGGATATTCAAAAGCAACCACATATACAAGGGAAATAAGAAAGCCACCACACATAGCCAGAAAATATAAGCTCAGGAAAGACCTGAGAAAACCTTACATTTATATTTCAGGCTGGTCCTTAGCAGAGACAGTCTACAACCATCAAAACAACAACAAAAATCCACAGCAAATCCTGGAGAAAGGGAGAAATCTGATTTTCTGAATCACCACATTATTAGATTTGAATATCCAACTTGCAAAAAAGAATATACTGAAAAGCACAAAAAGCAGGAAGGTAGTGCCCTGCTAAGGGGGGAAAAAAACCCAAACCCCAGATCAACAGAGGCTTACCTGAAAAAGATCTGAAGGTAGATCTACTAGGCAAAGACTTTAAAATAAATGTTTTAAAGATGATCAAAGAAGTAAAGAAAAATGTGGGGAAAGTCAGGAAAACAATATCTGAACAAAATGGAAATATCAAGAAATAAGAAACCAAAAAGAAACTTTGGAACTGAAAAGTACAATCACTGAAATGAAAAAATCACTAGAGGTTCAAGGTGAAGGAGTGGGGGAATGAGGAAGCAGGAAAAGGAGGGGAGAGAAAGGAATGGGTGTCCTCCCACTTAATGGGCACAATGTTGGGGTATATGGCACACCTCTTGTGGGTGGGACATAATTGTAAGAGGAATTCTACCTAACAAATGCAAACATTGTAACCTAATTCTTCATCCCCTCAAATTAACCTGAAACAACTTTAAAAATAAAAAAACAATGTGGAAATAATTTTCTATTGGGGGGGGACAGAGTCTCACTTTGTCACCCTTGGTAGAGTGTGGTGGCATCATAGCTCACAGCAACCTCAAACTCTTGGGCTTTAGTGATTCTCTTGCCCAGTAGCTGGGACTACAGGTGCCCACTACAATGCCTGGCTATTTTGTTGTTGTTGTTGCAATTGTCATTGTTGTTTAGCTGTCCTGGGCCAGGTTTGAAACTGCCAGCCTCAGCCTTTGTGGTTGGTGCCATAACCACTGTGCTACAGGCACCAAACCCACTGGGCTATTTTTGTTGTTCTGATTGTCATTGTTGTTTAGCAGGCCTGGAGCAGGTTTGAATCCGCCAGCCCCGGTGCATGTGGCTGGCACCCTAACCATTGAGCAACAAGTGCCAAGCCAATGGAAATAATTTTGATATGACTATGTCATTTATTCATTCATTTATTTATTTATTTAGAGACAGAGTCTCTCTTGGTCGCCCTCAGTAGAGTGCCATGGTGTCATAGCTCACAGCAACCTCAAATTCTTGGGCTCAAGTGATTCTCTTGCCTCAGCCTCCCAAGTATCTGGGACTACAGGCACACGTCACAATACCAGGCTATTTTCAAGAGAATGGGTCTCTCTCTTGCTTCTTGGTCTGGAACCTGTGAGCTCAGGCAATCCACCTGCCTTGGTCTCCCAGAGTTCTAGGATTACAGGCATGAGCCACTGCACTTGTACATTTTTTTGTATTAACCTGGATAGAGTTGGAGAACATTCTTTTTAGTAAAGTATCACAAGAATGGAAAAGCAAGTATACAATGAACTCAATACTAACATGAAGCCAGTAGATGAATTAATATATGCCCACACAGGAGAAAATTTCAATTCAAGTTGGGGGGATTGGAGGAGGGAAAGAGAGAGGGGGCAAGTGTGCTACTACTTAATGGGCACAATGTAAGGGTATCTGGCACACCTCCTGGGTGCAGGATGCAACTACAACAGGGACCTTACCTAACAAATGCAAACAGTGTAACCTACTCCTTTGCACCCTAATATTAATCTGAAATTAAAAAAACCAAAACTGTCAACCAAAAATCCTGTACGTGACAAATCTGTCCTTCAAAAGTGAGGGGAAAATTAAGACATTTCCAGATCAGATAAAAGCTAAAGGAGTTTGTTATTATCAGTCCTGCCTTGCAAGAAATACTAAAGGGAGTCCTATAACTTGAAATGAAAGGACATTTGACAGGAACTCAAAATCATGTGAAGAAATAAAGGTGTCAATAAAGGCAAATACATGGACAGTTAAAAGTTAGTATTATTATAATAATAGTTATCTCCATTTTTTGTTTTCTGCTTGATTTAAGACATTAACACTTCAGAAAAAGGTAATTATTACCCTAAAAAATCTTGATAATAACTTACTTAAAATCTTGATTTATGGCTCGGCGCCTGTGGCTCAAGCAGCTAAGGCGCCAGCCACATACACCTAAGGTGGCGGCCCGCCAAACAACAATGACGGCAGCAACCAAAAAATAGCCGGGCGTTGTGGCGGGCGCCTGTGGTCCCAGCTACTTGGGAGGCTGAGGCAGGAGACTCGCTTGAGCCCAGGAGTTGCAGGTTGCTGTGAGCGTGATGCCATGGCACTCTACCCAGGGGGATAGCTTGAGGCTCCGTCTCAAAAAAGAAAAAATCTTGATTTATAACTCCACATTTTATTTTCTCTGTCATTTAAAAGAACAATGAATTTCAAAAATTATTAGTTTGTGTTTTTGGACATACAAGATATGAAGATATAATTTTATGACATCAACAACTGAAAGGAATGGGGACAGAAAATTAAAGGACAGGTTTCTGCATGATATTGAAGTTATGCTGGTATAAATCCAAATTATAGTATTATAATTTTAGGATATTAAATGTAATTCCCATAGTAACCACAAAGAAAATAACCACAGAATATACATAAAAGGAAATAAGAAAGGAATTTAAATGGTACACTGTAAAAACTCTAATAAACACAAAAGAAGACAGTGATATAGGAAATGAGGGGCAAAAAGCTATAAAGCTTGCAGAAAACAAATACCAAAATGACAGAAGTAAATCCCTCCTTATCAGTCCACCTTAAAAAGGAAGGAAATTCTGACACATGCTAGAACATGGATGAACCTTGAAGACATAATACCAAGTAAAATAAGCCAGTCATGAAATGACAAATACTGCATGATTTTACTTATATACTTATATGAGGTACTCAGAGTAGTCAAAAATATAAAGACAGAAAGCAGATTAATGGTTGACAGGGTCTGGGGTAAAGGAGGGAATGGAGATTTAATGTATAATGGATATTATGGATAATGGATATATATCAATTTTAAAAGATGAAGAGAGTTATGAAGACAGATGGTAGTGATGGTTGTGCAACAATGTGAATGTACTTAATATTAAATATCACTAAACTATACAAGTAAAAATGATTAAGATTGTAAATTTTATGTTATATGTATTTTGCCACAACAAATTGGGAAAAATAAAGATTCACCTGACCACTTCCACTATACTATGCTATTATATAAGGCCTAGGAAAGTCAAGGGAAAAAATGGACACTAAGAAGCAGGCAACAAGGAAATTATATCATTGACAAATTACAATAATGTTACATACTTAACATAGGGAGAACATATACCATTACCTGGCTTCTACTCCAGGTCTTGTGGGTGGCTTTCCTGGTGGTGGTCGAGGCAAGAACTGAGATGAAGCTGAGCTATTGACTTGATCTGTGTTGACCCATGAAACTGGCCTTGGAATTTTGCTCTTTCTGGACTGGGAGGTAATGGGTGACAGAAAACTATCTTCAGCTGACCTACTCAGGTGAGAATCTACTGCCAGTCTTGAAAAGGGAGTAAAGACTTCCTCCTCAGAAAAGGGAACTGGAACAGTACCTAGTTTTTCCTCTAGCAATTTATCAGAGGCACTTGAGAGGTCACCAAGGAAAGACTTAAATTGCCTTTTTTCCACTAGAAGCTTGACTATGTCTGGCTGATAAGCTTTCTTTTGGAGGAGCTTTTCTTTTGCAGAGACTGTAGAGGGTGATTCAAAGGTTGAGTCTATCTCCTGTGCTAACACAGGGATTCGGCTGTGTCTAGTTACAAAAGATGACCTAACCACATCCTTCCGAGTTGGGGGTCCATGTTCATTCTCTGAAACACAATGAAATAGCTCTCCATTTCTAAGGGGAATTTTATCTCTCTTACCACCTTGGTGTAAAAAAGTAGAGAGGTCTCCTTGATGACCTGGCAAGTCTTCACTCTTGACATCATCATCCTTAGATAGTTTACTTTTTTGCACTGCTACCATCTGGCCTATCTGTCCTTCAACATGTGGGTCAATGACTCTTGGAGAAATTTCTGAATTTCCAACTGCCAAAAGCTTCATTATCTCATGATTTTTGTCTTGATTTGGCACCACACTAAAACTCTGTGCTTTTGTCACACCAAGAGGTTCAGTAGTAGCTGAGTGATCCTTTTTTGCAGTTACCAAATCTCCCGGGAGAGGGGAGATATCAACACAATGCTGCCTTTTACTTAACTTCTCATCTTCATTATCTGATCCTAGAAGGATGCTTTTTTCTTCATTTTCCCCAGGGAGATTCTCAAACTCTCTTCCAACCAGTCTGTTATAGTCAGGAAGGTCTTTTGCTCCCAGGTCTTGAGATTTGTCACTTTCTTTAATATTGGGTAATATGTCATGAACAATGTTATCTATCTGAAGCCCCAGATCTGTTCTGCTTCCTCCACTGGGAGGTTCGCCTTCTGTCCCAACCAAGCCAGAGAAATTCTCCCTTGGAGAGTAGAGTTCCACAGTGGGCTCCACAGGCTGAAGATCTTTCTTCTCTGGCAGCTGACCACAGTGAAAGCTTCCTGAAGTTGACTGTGTAGATGCCACAGAAGGTCTAGGAATTGTAATCTGGAGAGGCAGGAGAAAAAATTAAAAAGCAATTATGTGGAATATCAATAAAGATGCATGACTTGAAATTTAACACCTCAAATTCCAATTTATTTTATTTATTT